CTCTCTTTTGGAGTGTTAATATTTTATTTTGTGATGTTTCTGCTACATTTTTTATTTAAGAGGTGGGTCAACTTTCTAACTTCTGTATATTTGACACGTACAGTACAGACAAGTAAAGTGACCAAGAAAACCTTGAATTTCAATAATCAGAGACAGGTTTATGATGGGAAAAATCAACATCACGAAGCAGAAATTGCCAAGGAAAAGGGAATCTCTCAGGCCATTAAAATAATAATTTTCTGCAACTGTAAAGAATTTTAGAGAGCCCACCGGCCACCACCATGGAACTAATCAAACCAAGCTTTTATCAAGCATTGTGCTAAGAACAGGTTTAACCACTTGGAAAATTAAAATAAATGTTTGTTACCCCATTTCACAAATCTGAAAAAAAATCATTAGCAATGGACCTCAAATGAAATATATAAATTGCTTAGATTATTATCAATCTGTAAGTGGACATGACAAGAAATTGGAAAATCATAATTAGTAATCATCCTGACCTGACATTCTGTCCACACGAAACTCAAAAGAAATGGACTAAGGTTTTTAGAATAAACTAACCACTATATAATAAGAACATCAAGTACCAAAATCTATATATATATAAAAAGGTTGTTGTTAAAATACTTTTTTAGAAACTTTTGACCAAAAAAAAAACTTTGACAATCTAAATATAAAAACCTGCATTTATAATACACGAAATTTTAAAAAAGTCATACTTCAATTCAAAAATTTGTTTATTAGAGATATTGTTGGGATTGTGGATAAGTCACAATTGATTCATAATTATCATTACATGATTAATTCAAAAATTAATTGATTAGAGATATTATAGTGATATGTGGATAAGTCACAATTGGATCCATGATTATTATTGGAGATATTATTGGGATTGTGGATAAGTCACAATTGGATCCATAATTATCATTACATGATTAATTCAAAAATTAATTGATTAGAGATATTATAGGAATATGTGGATAAGTCACAATTGGATCCATAATTATTATTACATAATTATGATTGTTTGGTATAAAATCATATGCACTACCACTACTCAACAATTCACGTCATTCACAGTTTAGAAAAAAAAAAAGTTCACGTCATTCACAGTTCACAGAAAAAAAAAAGAAAAAACCGAGATAAATTTTACAGAGAAAAAAAAAAGATAAATTTCAGAACACGTTGATAATAAATGCCGCCAGTCTGGGATACACTCGATTCCGTCAGTAGGAGAAACAAGCCTTTTTTGCACTTGAAAGCAGTCCTAATAGTTGAAACGCATAGGAGAGTTGGAACGCATTCCATATACTGTTTCATGATGAACAGGTAAATATTTATATTTGTAATATCAAATTTATGTAATTTTAAAAAATATTTTAATTTATATTTATAAATTTATACTGTAGGGTACATTCATTAAAGGGATAATAAGTTCCAAACATATGGGAGCATTTCGAGGTGTACTGAACGAAGGCGAGGTGTATGCGACCAGCAACTATGTCGTTGAATTTATTAATGGGAAGAAGGATATCATAACCAACATATGGAAACTTGTGCTTCATGGAAGAACTCATGTTATCAAATATGGTGGGATTTTCCCTCAAAATGTTGATATTTTCCCTCAACATTAGCAAGGAGCAAGAGATATTTATGATATTTAGAGTTTGATTATTATGAATTTTAATCTCATTCCATGTCGTTGAATTCCGAATTCTATAATAAATTTTAGTGTTATTATATTTGTTATCGTTATAAAATGTCGTTGGATATTTATTTTTTTTTATTAAATGTCGCATGAATGTGAAAATTTGAACATTTTATTTTTGAGTTCTACTGTATATTAGTTTAAAATTGGTAGAATGCCATGATACAAGATATAAATTAATACAAATTTTAACAAATATTTCAAATATAAGATTATATAAAAAAAATTTACGGAATTAACAATAACTGAATTAAGTACATTTAATAGATTATATTGCGTGATTTTTCAATAATTTATCATAATGAATTATATTCATAAATATGAATATGAATTTTGATTATAATATTTATATTAATTTGTGTTATATATAAATTATTATTATTAAAATTTATACGTAAAAAGATGGAAAGATTTGTTTGACGTAAAATTTTGACTTAAAATATTATAATATTTGTTTGACGTAAAAAATTTTTCAACAAATTTTTTTTGTATCACATTGGTATGGACAAAAATTTAATTGAAAGATGTTAATTATGTAACGATGCTATCACACAAAAATCTCCACTTCTTAACTACTTTGCACTTATCTTATCACCATACATGATAAGGTTGAAAATTACAATTTGATTTCTAAATTGTTTTAGGTTTTTATTGACCGAGTATCACTCTTTGAATTCCATTTGAATTCAAAATTGGTGTATTTTTTATTTGAACAAAAATATTTATGGAATTAACAATAACTAAATCAAGTACATTTAATGGATTATATTGCGTGATTTTTCAATAGTTTATCATAATGAATAACATTCATAAATATGTATTTGATTATAATATTTATTTTAATTTGTGTTATATAAATTATTATTATTAAAATCTTGACGTAAAAAGATGGAAAGATTTGTTTGAACTAAAATTTTGACGTACAAAATTTTTGACGTAATTATATTATTTGTTTGATGTAAAAAAAATTTCAAGAATTTTTTTTATATTACGTTGGTATGGACCGAAATTTAATGGAAAGATTGATGGTGATGGTAATTATGTAATGATGCTATCACACAAAAATCTCCAATTCTTAACTACTTTCCACTTATCTTATCATCATAAAAGTTTCGGTCCATACCAACGTGATAATCATTTGTGTTTGGATTGACTGAAATATATTCCATTTGAATTCAATGTCATTCATTTAAAAAACATAACAAATGCAGAGTACTACGGTGGATAAATCTAGAGTTAACAATCTGATAAATCACATTTTACTAATCTTATCATGATATTACAGTTTGAATTTATTGGAACTCTGAAATTAAAATCACGTGCAATGAATCTTATCAAGAGAGATTAACGTGAGTCTAACTAATCTTATCATCTAATGGTTATCTACTTTCATCCCATGGCTATAAAATAAACGTCAAAGCCTATATCACGTATCACAAAAATCTCACATTACAATTTCACATACAAACAGAAAAATAGCGAGAGCATGGGGAAACATCAAGCAAGTAACAAGGATCAACAGGCCAATGCTCAAGTTGAGGGTGGTTCGAGTTTTCCAAAGGACTAATCAATACTCATCCTACAAGAACATCCTTGAAATTGTCTTTCATGACATTGAGGTTTAATTCATAATAAAAAATAATGATTATTCATTTTTCTCATCATGTTAATTATAATATCTAATATCTAATATTATTTTCCCCTTTTTTTTTCAGGGAGGTCGAATTACTGGAATAGTAAAGCAATCAACATCCCAACTTTCATCAATGAATTCGAAGAAGGTGTTGTCTATGCATTTCGAAACTATCAAGTCGAGAGTAATATCGGAATGTATAGATCCACCATTGATAATTCGTGCTTCTCTAATAATATGGGATGAAGCACCAATAATGCACAAGCATTGTTTCGAAGCTGTACAGACATCGCTGCAGGGTAATATGGGAGCAATTGATCCTTTGAACTTGAACAAACCGTTTGGTGGGAAGCCGATTGTTTTTGGTGGAGATTTTCGAAAAATCCTTCCAGTCATTCTAAAGGGTAGCCGTCAGGACATAGTCAATGTTGCCATTAATTCTTCTGACATATGGAGGAGTTGTACTGTGCTTAGGCTTACGAAAAAATGCACCTTCAGGGACTTGCTAACTCGGATGAATGTGATGAGCTTGCACGGTTTGCAGATTGGATAGCCAACATCAGAGATGGAACTATCAGAGGGTTGAATGATGGATGTGCACCTATAGACATACCCGAGGACATTTTGCTTCAGCCATCTGATGATCCTATTGCTCAGATAGTTGAAAGCACATGTCCAATGTATAAAGAGGCACCCGACGATCCAAGTTATTTGAAGGATAGGGCTATATTAGCGCCTACGTTGGATGTGGTCGAGTCTATCAATCAGTACATGACATCATTGAATTTGTTGGATGGTCGTATGTACTTGAGCTCTGAAAGTACGTGCAAATCAAATTCTAATAATGATTTTTTGTCTGATCTCCATACGCCTGAGTTTTTGAATAGTATCAAGTGTTCCGGAATACCGAACCATGAGTTGTATTTGAAGATTGGAACTCCAGTCATGTTGTTGCGGAACATAGATCATTCTATGGGTTTGTGTAATGGGACACGATTGGTAGTGACAAAGCTATCGGCTCACATTCTTGAGTGTAAGATACTCACAGGAGATCATGCTGGTGATAAGGTGTTGATTCCAAGAATGTCCATAACTCCTTCTGATGTTAGAATTCCTTTCAAGTTCCAACGGCGACAGTTTCCCATTATGGTTTCTTACGCCATGACTATAAACAAGAGCCAGGGACAATCCTTGTCTCATGTTGGCTTATTTCTTAAGAAACCAGTGTTCAGTCATGGTCAGTTATATGTTGTTGTTTCCCGTGTCACTAAACGAAAAGGTTTGAAAATCTTAATTTGTGGCGAAGATGACGTGCCAAAGAATCAAACCAATAATGTTGTATATAGGGAAGTATTCAATAATATATGATTTTTTCAATTTAATGATATGTTTATATGTCTATTATTATGATCATGATCATTGCCTGCATAACACAATTTATATACAAAATTGTTTTTTAAAAACATTCTAGATAATAATATCCCCGTGCATCGCACAGGTGACTACTAGTAAAAATAAAAATGAGGCATTGCGTGTTCACTTGTTCAGAACAAAAAAATTTGAAGTTACATTTCCTGGGAATATCCAGAGGAGATGGCATCTTCTTTTCTTTTTCAGAGGAAAACAACAGAACAATCACACTGGAAAACAAATATTCCTCTAGAAAGTATTGATCTTGATATTTTAATGATGAACAACACATAAACATCATAGTAGAAATAAAATTAAACAATTCCAGCCCCAACATTAATTCCAGGTTTTATTTATGCTCCACACCATTGATGCATCAAGTAGAACCACATTTGCTATATGCCTATATCGTTCTAATCCTGAATAATTTATATTAAGAATCACAGATACAGATACATGATGTCAGCCAAACAATTTCAGAAAACAGTCGATTATCCCTCCGCTAGACTAAAAATCTGTCAAATTCTCACTTTCAGCACTCAATTTTATAAATTAAAAAAAAAAAAGATCGAGCGAATCATTTTTTTTTCTCAATACTGCGAATCAAGATCCTTAACGAACAGTTCCATTTCCATATTAATACCCTCCAAATTACTATCATCATCATTAGTATCACTCTCGTCCTTTTTAGTTCTCAACATGTCCATAGGCAATATGGCTTCATTCGGATCACCACTCGGTATCAAAAACAAAATTCCAACCGGAAGCACACGACAAAAGCTCCTTATCACTATAACCAACCACAAGTTATCAAATTTCGTGCGTGTCACATTCATAGCATGCAGCAAAAACCCTCCAGCCCATGAAGCAGTAAATTGTCCCACATGGTCAATAGACATGAGCAAAGCGAAAAACGTGCCTTCAATGCCAGACGGGCAAAGTTTGGAACTTAAAACAAGAAGTGGCATCCACTTTAGCCGACTAATCATGTGAGAAAACGAGGCATCTAATACAACAACCATGTAATCTGGGATCCCGAGAGCTAAGTTTAAGCGCGAGACCAATACAAGGTCGAGCAGGCCCGAAAGCCCGTATAGCAATTGGGCCCAAAAGAGAACCTGACGGAAGGGGTGGGCCCGAAAGGCGTTTTGGTAGAGGAGGACACCGAAAAGTGAGCCGATTGCGCCAAAGGCTGATATGGACCCCACCATTTCCTGAAAGGTTTATTAGGTGTGTGATTGGTTGATTTTTATTTATGTTATAACTTAAAAGGATGAAATAGTGATTGAAGGTGAATATGGAAAGAGAATTGTGGTGATGGTAGTTGATGTTGTGATTCTTCATTCTTTAGTGATGAAATAGTTATTGAAGGTGAATGTGATGGGTAAAATAAGCAAATGGATGGTGAAAAGTGTGATGATGATGATT